CGCTGGTGCTACTTACCAAAGGGCTATGCAGAATATTTTCGACGATCTTCTCCACAAGAATGTCGAATGATATGTTGACGACTTGGTGGTGAAATCAAGAGAGAATGGTGACCACATGAAAGACTTGAGGATGGTATTTGAATTGCTTCGGAGATACCAACTTAGGATGAACCCATTGAAATGTGCCTTTGGAGTTACTTCTGGAAAGTTCCTTAGTTTCATTGTCCGACATCGAGGGATCGAAATTGATCTAACCAAAGTGGATGCCATTTTGAAAATGCCTGCGCCTCAAGATATCCATGAATTGAAAAGTCTACAAATAAAGCTAGCATACCTTAGAAGATTCATATCAAACCTGGCTGGGAGGTGCCAACCGTTTTGTCGCCTCATGATAAAAGGCGTTCCTTTCAAGTGTGACCAGGCTTGTAGTGATGCCTTTGAAAGTATCAAAACCTACTTGATGAAGCCTCCAGTTTTAGCAGCTCCTATACCTGGAAAGCCATTGATACTATACATTGCGGCGCAGGAAAGGTCTGTTGGAGCACTGTTGGCCCAAGAAAATAGTGAGGGGAAAGAAAACTCTCTTTACTACTTGAACAGGATGATGACACCTAATGAGTTGAATTATTCGCCAATTGAAAAGTTGTGTTTGGCGCTAGTCTTCTCAATTTAAAAGTTGAAGCACTACTTTTAAGCTCATGTTGTCCGCCTTGTTTCTAAAGCAAACCCCATCAAGTTCGTGATGTTAAAACATGTTCTTAGTGATCGACTAGCTAGATAGTACCTCCAATTTCAACAATTCGAGATTTTGTACATCCCTCAAAAGGCTGTAAAAGGACAAGCATTGGTAGACTTCTTGGCAGATCATCTGATACCTGATGACTGGGAGCTAACTGATGAACTACCTGATGAGGACACAATGGTCGTTGAAGTTCAACCTCCATGGAAGATGTACTTTGATGGTGCTGTGCATCGTGGGGGAGCCGGGGCTGGCGTAGTATTTGTCACACCCCAAGGTGAAGTCTTGCCCTACTCCTTCACCTTGACACAACTTTGTTCCAACAATGTTGCTAAATATCAAGCATTAATACTTGGGGATGAAATGGCCGTTGATATGAAGCAATTACAATTGCAAGTCTTTGGTAACTCCCAGTTAGTGGTCAATCAGCTTTTGGGTAGTTACGAGGTCAAGAAGCCTGAACTACGCCCATATCATGATTATGCTAAAAGGTTGATGGGGTGGCTCGGTGATGTGACTATTCAGCATGTGACAAGGAAAGAAAATAAGAAGGCTGATGCTTTAGCTGCTCTAGTTTCATCATTAGCCCTGCCTGACAAAGCGCAAGTTACCGTTTGCCAAAAATGGGTAGTACCGTCGCCAAATGAGGCTGAAGGTGAAGAAAACGAACTCAATCATCTTGTTGTTATTTTTGAAGTTGAGAAAGAAGAATGGCGACAACCCATTATCGACTACTTATGCTATGGGATACTTCCAGAAAATCCGAGGAGAAGGACTAAAATCTGTCGTCGTGCACCTCACTTCCTTTACTACAAGGATACTCTATACAGAAGGTCGTTCGAGGGAGTACTTTTGCGATGCCTAGGAGAATAAGAAGCTCTCCAAGCTTTACAAGAGGCACATTCTGGGGTATGTGGGTCACACCAGTCTGGACTAAAGCTCCACTTCCATATAAAAAGGATGGGATATTATTGGCCAACGTTGGTAAAAGATTGCTTGGACTACGCTCGAAGATGCAAGGCTTGTCAATTCCATGTGAATTTTATTCATCAACCTCCTGAAGTGTTGCACCCGACTGTTGCATCCTGACCATTTGACGCTTGGGGATTGGATGTTTTTGGACCACTGCCAAAGTCCTCTAGTGGGCACCTATACATCTTGGTTGCACCTGACTACTTCTCAAAATGGGCTGAAGTCGTTGCTCTTAAGGAAGTAAAGAAGGAAAATGTTGCAAGTTTCATCCGAGTAAACATTATTTATCGCTTTGGCATTCCTCGTTACATAATAACGGATAATGGAAAGCCATTCGATAATAGGTCAATGAACAAGATTTGTGATCTCTTTGGCTTCAACAACGTAACTCTTCGATGTACAATGTTGCCGCCAATGGTCTAGCTGAGGCATTCAACAAGACTCTATGCAACTTGTTAAAGAAAGTCGTCTCCAAATCCAAACGAGATTGGAATGACCGTATGGAAGAAGCTCTATGGGCATATAGGACGACTCACCGCACGCCAACACAGGCGACTCCTTATTCACTCGTTTATGGAGTCGAAGCCGTCTTGCCACTTGAGCGTCAAATACCTTCGTTACGACTGGCTATTCAAGAAAGGATCACTGATGAAGAAAATGCTCGACTTCAGTTAGTAGAGTTGGAAGCTCTTGATGAAAAGAGATTTGAATCTTAACAGAATCTTGAATGTTATCAAGCTCGATTATCTCGCACCTTCAATAAAAGAGTTCGCCCGAGATCCTTTCAAGTAAGAGATCAAGTCCTTGCCGTACGAAGACCCATAATTACTTCCCATAAACTTGTAGGGAAGTTCGTTTCAAAATGGGATGGGCCATATGTCGTACAAGAAGCTTACTCAAGTGGGGCTTACAAGCTGGTTGATGCAGATGGTATAAGGATCGGCCCTATCAATGGCAAGTTTTCGAAGAAGTATTATCCTTGAAGTTGCAACGCTCCTTGACGCACGAGCCTAAACTGTATGTTGCTACACTCCTGGCCCGTAAGAGTATAAATTGTGTACGGCCCAAAAAAAAGTCCACTAGGTTGAAAATCTCGAAAGAGGCAGCCTAGGCAAAAGTTAGGATGTAACAAAAAAAAGAAAATCTACCCAGTCTAAACTACGATATGACTTGATCCTCTTCACCGAGGTACGTAGGCAGCTTAGAGTTTCATTCTAAGTTTAGTCGCATAAGTTCAAAAGATACATATTGCCCCAATTGTTGTTTGAATGAAGTATGAAGGAATGTAAGATCAAGCTGAAATCCCATCCTCCTACTGAACTTTGACATCATTTGATTTAAAGAGGGAAACCCTCCATGGTAAATTGATATCTTCGATGGGCTGATTTTAGGAGGATATCAAGTATTTGCATTGAAGTCTAGGGATTCTCTATGTCTTTAGGTTCGCCAAACCTTCAAGTTTGTTGGTCTCCAAGTCCACCCTCTGCCTTAATAAAAAGGGGGAAGAGAAGAGAGACATCAAAAGGAAACACAAGTATAAGGAAAGGATTCCTTGCCACAACGTTTCAAATTCAGTGAGACTTGAACTCAAGATATTTGCGAGAATATGGCTCTTAAATTTCGATTGATGGCAAGTAAGACATCTTCCGATCTCGAGGCTTCCGTACCAAAATATGAATTTTTGTGAGACTGCGCAAATCTGGAATTGATGGTGTGGTGCAATGTAAAGTTGATTTCAAAATATTATCTGGGACGATTTAGAAGTTGTTTGATTGAGAATTTTGTATATATTATAGATCTTGAAGTCTAGTTTTCAATAAATCAAACGGTTCCTAATTTCGACGTTCCTACACCAAGATATAAATCTTTTGGCTAGACTGCGCAAATCTGGAAATTATAGCGTGGTGCAATATAAAGTTGATTTCAAAATATTATCTAGGACGATTCTGAAGTTGTTTTATTGAGAATTTTGAATATGTTCTAGGTCTTGAAGTCTAGTTTTCTTGAAATCAAACGATTCGCAATTTTGATATTTTTATATCGAGATATGAATTTTTTGGTGAGACTGCGCAAATCTGGAATTGATAGCATGGTGCAATATAAAGTTTATTTCAAAATATTATCTGGGACGATTCTGAAGTTGTTTGATTGAGAATTTTGGATATATTCTAAATCTTGAAGTCTATTTTTCTTAAAATCAAACAGTTTGTAATTTCGATATTTTTACACCGAGATATGAATTTTTTAGTGAGACTGCGCAAATCTGAAATTTTTAACATGGTGAAATCTAAAGTTGGTTTCAAAATATTATCCAGCACGATTCTGAAGGTTTTTGATTCTGAGTATTGGATATATTTTAGATATTGAATTCATCAAACGGTTCATTATTTGGACTCTCCCACGGCAAGATATGAATCATTTGTTACAAGCACGTAAAGCTGGAAATTATGCGACTAAGATAAAAGTCGAATAATGTAAAGCAAAAGAGAAGCTGAGAGAGCTCGTGGATCAAACACACCAGTTTGTTCTTATCACAACTCCTCCCTTCCACAACTATAAATAGAGGTCTTCATAACCCAGAAAACACACCAGAAGTTATAACAAGAAGTAAGAGAGAGCTCGTGGATCAAACACCGCAAATTTCTCTACAAGTTTCAAGCTTCAAGAAATCAAGTTCAAAAAATCAAGTTCAAGCTCAAGAATGAAGAACAAATCAAGTTCAAGCTCAAGAACGAAGAACAAATCAAGGTCAAGTTCAAGCGATCAAGCTAAAGCTCAAGAACAAGATCATCGTTTGTGGCAACAAATACATATTCAAGATCAAGCTCAAAGGCCCTTGAATTTATTTACTATTGAAAAGAAGAATCAGAGGATTTATAAAGATTGTACACTCAAATATTCGAAATAAAATACTACGATTGTTGCAATATTTTTTGTCTTGATTTTATTTTCACGACCCAAATTTATTGTCTACAAAGATACTGCGTTCCTTTGAACCGGTTAATTATATTATATGTTACATGTGCCACTGCTTCAAAAATTGGATGAAGTAAAACATAATCAACCAAAAAGAACTAGAATCCAAGGAAATTATCTTGGTGGCTTACCAACACGTTTGTTTTAGATAAGTTTACAAAAATCTTACTATTTTTGAAATTGACACTAGCATTACCTAATTCTTTGTTAAATACAATTTGATGAGACAAACACGGTCTGCTAGGCCACCTCTCTATATCTTTTGCCGTGTTGCCTGGAGCTTGTTGTATAATATGAAGAAAATAGTTGACCTCATGCTATACAAACTGACTTCCATGCAATTATAAAGACCATCACATTTCTCTCCAACATTTCTCAAAATTGTGCATTTTCCAATTATCTCATTCCTTAAGAAATTATTTGACTTTCAGTCTTCCATTTGAAAAATGGGGAGATATCCATGCTGCAAATTAGACAATGATTTGAAGAAGGGGCCATGGACAGCTGAAGAAGATGAAAAACTAATGGAATATATTCAAGAAAATGGTCATGGAAACTGGCAATTGGTTCACAAAAGAGCAGGCTTAAACAGGTGTGGGAAGAGTTGTAGACTAAGGTGGACTAATTATCTAAGGCTTGATATTAAAAGAGGAGGTTTCTCAGAGGAGGAAGAACAAATGATCATCAACTTTCATTCTGTCCTTGGAAACAAGTAGGAGTAACAATTAATTAATACTCCAACTTTCCTTACTTCTTCATATATATATTTTTCATGTTTTTTGTCCATTGTTTGTGCCTTTTTAGAGTTTAACTTCTGTACGATAACAAACAATTGTAAAAGAATCTTTGCACTAACAGATCACGTAAAAAATAATTACAGATAACTTTCATAAAAACTGCAACTAGTAATCTAAAAGTAAGATGTAAAAATTCTTTAAATTGACGGTCTATATAAATAAATCAACCTTTGTATAGTCCACTATTTTATTTTATTTTTGTTCTGCATTAACATTATTATATATTTCCTTGTAGATGGTCAAGAATTGCATCTCATCTTCCAGGAAGGACTGATAATGAAATCAAGAATTTTTGGAATACCCATTTGAAGAAAAAGCTTCTCAAATCTGGAATTGATCCAGTAACACATCAACCAATAACTGATCCCACTCTGCTTCTTAGTCTTTGTAATTTGATAAATCCTTTAGAATCTGCTCTTAGGTTACAAGCAGTGAAGCAGAACTGACTGAAATGGCCAAAATCCATCTCATTCAAAACATAATTCAAGTCCTAAACACTCCTCCATTTCAAACATTTCAAGAAAACTTACCCATGCAACAATTATACAACAATGTTTCACCATATGACATTCTTACTAATGTGACAAGTAACATAGATGGGCCTTCTCCAAATTCGAATTCCTTGGACGGATTTGGTAAAGTGTTCAATGTTGATTCAGATTATTCACTACCGTCATTAGTTCCAGCTACACATGAGAAATCACCATTTGACCAGAATATTGATGTTCCCAGTTATGGTTTCTTAGATGCATGGGAAAAAGGTCTGGATGATGAAGCTAATAACTTCTTCTGGCAAGGTATTATTTGAAGATTACTTAGATCTTCCCTTGTTTTAATGTAGATAGATTTCATTCAGCTTCGAATACTGGGTGGAAAATTATAAAAAAAAATAAAGTGCTAATTTGTGTAGCTTCCTTTTCTGATCAGCCCTTTTCTTGTACACGTTTTAATCAATATTTGCATTGTTTTTTTGTTGAGGATTTTTCTTTTCCCTTATGGAAGGGAGAGTTCTTTAATCAATTTTGTCGGTTTGTTTAAAACGTAAAATAATTTAGGGTAGGTATATTTGTGTACATCCCGACTGGTTGTAAATTAATGAAATTTGTAAATACAGCAGAGTACTCTAATAAATAAAATGTCTCAAAACATCGTCAAATCAGTAGTTACAATGCTATAAAATTAGGACTCGTCTCTGGGTAGGCAAGATCTAAACATCCCAAAACAACCATGGGGGACGCTGAATTTTTTGTGTATATGTACTTATATATGTATAAGTAGGCTTGGATATCTTATTTACAATAAAAGTTAGTTACGTGCATTAGTACCGTCACCTAATTTAGTAATCACGTCACTCGGTACACTATTATGTAATGTTATGACTAGATTTTTTTGAATTAATCTTTCTGTCACGACCCAAAAATCCCTCCGAAGGAGTCGTGATGGCACTTAGTCTCTAAACTAGGTAAGCCTAACATTAACTGAAATAACATTGATATTTGCCAACTTTAAATGCAATAACTCTTAGCAATTTATAATTCCCAAAACCGGTGGTACAAGTCACAAGCCTTTCTAAGAGTAGTTATACAAAATAAATATATCATTGCTCTGAAACAAAGGGAACAAATGGAAATAAGTACAATTGAAGGTGACTCTGAGGACTGCGAACGCTGCAGCAGGTTTACCTTGAGTCTCCACCGCAACGAGTAGCTACTATCGATCAAATACCTGGGTCTGTACACAAAAATGTACAGAAGTGTAGTATCAGCACAACCGACCCCATGTGCTGGTAGGTGCCTAGCCTAACCTCGACGAAGTAATGACGAGGCTAGAACCAGACTACCAAATAAACCTATGCAAAATAGCGTACAAAAATAAAAGGAAGCAGATAACAATGATGGCAACAATGATCAACCGGTGATATAAATAGCAGGCAACAAGAACACCATAAATGTTTCTCAACAAATAATAAATACAAGTGCAATCAATTAATCAAGTCCTTCAAATATAAATCTTTCGCCTATAAATCCTTCAAGTAATAATCTCTAAGATAATATGTTTTTCAATAAATATATTTCGAATATATTTCCTTCAAATAAATATCTTTCAGATAAGCATCTTTCGAATATAATTCTTTCGAGTAAAGGTCACCTTGTGACACCTCATTTCATAATCATAAATAATATAGGTCTCAGCCTACTTTCATATTTTCACGGCACTGTCACAACCGCACGAACAACTCACGTGCCATTAAATAAAACCATAATATTTTTCCCGGCACCTTGTACCCACATATTTCTGTCTCACATTGCACAATAATATTCTCATGTTACTCAGCTCATAGGGTCCATAACCTAATACAATTAAGAGTGTTCAAGAAGTCTCATTCACTTAACATAAAGTAGAGTACAACTTCCAACCCAATTAAGAAATCAACAAGAAAAGATGAAATTATTTTTGTTTGAAATCATTTGATAAAGAAAATACCATTTTCAATGAAAGTACAATATCGAAGGAATTATAACCATTAATACGAGAAATTAATAAATCAAAACATAGTAGAAATTCCTTTTTAAGTAAAGTACAACCTCAAACGGTTTAAGGAAACTTTAGTTGAGAAATCAATTGAGATAAAAATGTAATAATTCTTGAAATTTGAAGTATTGAACATATTAAAAAAATAAGGCGAGGTATTGTAAACACTATGGATTCCAACACAAAGAATCACAACAGTAAAGCGATCTAAACAGTTAATACACTTGAATTGTTAATAACAAGTAAACACAGCAAACAGAAAGTGCA